ATAAAAGAATGCAGTATATTTTTCTCAATATTTTGCAATATAATATCCATTCAATAAAAAAAGTATAATAGCCAAAATAGTTTATTTTAACATTGTACTATTTAATCAAAATATACAATATTTTATGTTAATAATAATACGACATAGAGAAATACATATTATACAGTTCATACATATAATACATTGTATAAATATATATATATATAAATAAAAAAATATAAATATATATAGATGTATGTATATATGTATATATATATATATATTTGATATTCATTTATTTATAAAAATATTTTGATTGTGTATATACTGATTTTAAGTTTGTGAGAATTTGGTAGTGACATAAATGCACAATGCAATATCTAATTTAAATCCAACAACTTTCCTTTTACAATTTATCCTAACTTCCCTTTAGTTAGCAAATCGTAAATGGCAATATATATGCTGACTTTGAAATCAAATCATAATTGCAATCAAAGCAATTATTAGTTTTTTTTCCTTTTTGCGAGCAATAATTTCGGTGTAAGAATAACACGAATTGCCAAAAACGAAGGCATCAAATCAATGCTAAAAACAAATGCATCAAATCTACTCAAATTATATTTCCTTATTCAATTATTTTATAATATTTCTTTTCATATTAATTATGTCCAGTTATGGTAAAAATATTAATTTTATATGTAAAAATATATATTCATTCGATGTTACATATTCTACACATGTTTTGAATATGGAAAGAATGCTCATCGTATTTAGACCCGATCATGATTAATTAATTTTTAGGAAACTTTATTTGATATTGCCGCCCAAATCAAATTTTTGAAATTTGAACGTGTATATTTTGAAAACTATATAAACACCTTACATCTATATAATTTTTACCAGCATTTACATCTACTCGAGCGACACTTTATAACAATGTATGCGTGTTTCATATTCACATGTTGTACCTCTATTTACATGTTTTAAGTTTTATATTGTCTGCGTTTTCATATTTTACTTATCGCTGTTATTGTTTTGGTTGCAGCTTATAATCACGATTCCAAAGTCTTCGGTACGTAATGTCTTATGTGTATGTTCAATCCACTCTAAGCGTACTTTGCAATAAGTATTTATTACTATGTCTGTTTTTGTTTTTGTTTTTGTTTTGCAGATGTCATAAGACTAGGGAAAATTGTCATCAATCAAATACCGTGATAGATTTATATTTTTGAATTCAATCTTTCTATGTTGTG